GATTTATTTTCTCTAAGGTTAAAAAGGTGACAAGCATTCCCCTTCATTCCTTCCTTTGTGGAAGTTATTAAAGGCAGAATGGGGACATCCTAATGAGGGCAGAACACTAAGCAGACAGGAAATAACATTTTATAAAAGGCAACACAGTAAAGTTGATATTTCTATCCTTGAAGTAGATATGCTCTGAGCATCTGTATCAAAGGACATAGTCACTTTGTGATGAGATTTATAGATCCCACACTAAGGTTAAAGGAACGGTGGGACGGTATTGGGTCAAGAAGGCCATGCTCTTCAGCAGCTGCCAGGCATGCTCCCTGTAGAAGAGCATCTTAAAGGGCAGTTCTGGCAGGCAGACTAGGGGAGAGTGAAGGAGAGACTGGCTGCAAGAAGGCAGACAGGTGGTAGCTGCTGAAGCAGAGCAATCTACAGGTGGGGGAACACTGGGACTGTGAGTAAGACTTGGCTGGCAGACCAAAGTCCTGCCCTTTTTCCTCCCTTCTTCCTGACTATGGGAGAACAACTGGACTTTGGGAGTGAGGTGGGAAGCTGCCCACCAATCCCAAGTGGGGCTCTAAATTATTGAGACGGTGCAAAGAAAAGCTGGGGCTACACCCCAAACTGAAGAGAAAACAAGGAAGGTAGGAAGCAGCCCAGGGGATGCTAACCTGGAGCAGCAGCTAGAAGGGACTGGCCCATCCCTGGCCTCTCCCCTCTGGGGTCCTGTGCCAGGACTCGGTGGAGAGGGAGAGGTCCCTCTACCCTTCCCTCCTCCCACTAGTCACCTGAGAGATCCTGGAGGCAGGAGTGGTGGGCGCGATAAACTAGGTGTTGGCTGCTAGGGCCCCCAGACTGCCTGGAAGAGTTGCCCCAAGATTCGGAGAGACTGTTTGGCCATGGCCTGACCACTAGACCTACTGGCCCCAGAGTGATGCCTGCTACACATCTGAGGAGACTATTATTTATTTTCAAGGAAATGTTCAGCTCTAAAGATGGGGCTTCAGTGAGAAAATAGGAAGTAGCATAGGACACTCTTCAAATATAGCTATCCCCCATCTTCTTGCTTTGGCAGCATTTTGTAGATGCAATGAACTGCATTAAATATCTTTTTCTGTAGGTAAAATATTGAAATTCACTCTATACAAGGTCACATTGGCTTCATTGCTGTCTTTCTCTAGAGTATCTAAATGGCTTTGACTATGTAATCTGGAAGACGCTGACTATATCAGACACAGAAAATCAACTGATATTTGAAGTGAATTCTTTTCTCAGGCAAGCTGACCCAGCAGAACAGTTGTTTGGATAGACCCTGTAAATAATAAAATCTAGGATTGAAATACCGGCTCCCACTGATGTGAATTGGAATTTTGCCATTGACTTCAATAGGCCAGTATTTCACTCCTGGCAACTAAACACTCCTTAATATTAGTCAAATCAGATAGAATTAGACAGCAGCTCATTTTAGAGGTAAAAAATAAATCACAGCCAAGTCTTATTCCTAAAAGCAGGACAGAGGTTAGAAGGAAATGTAACATCCTTGAGAGATAGGTAGTTCTTTATCCATTAGATACAGAACTGTCTCATACAAGTGGGTCCTAGAGGTAATAAAAGAAGAATATTGAATCACAGGAGTGTGTATTTCACCTCGTTTCCCATGAAGTCAATTTCACACAGGACAGAAAAACAAAGCAAGATCTAATAAGGCACAGAACACTTTCTGGAGATAGAGAAGTGGTGTCTCCTCCACAATGATAATTTATATATACACACTACATAGGATCACATTTTATTATTTGTGTAACCCCGGGGAGTTCCGAGAAAGTCTGAGCACTGTTGGCTCAGAAAAGTCTAAACAAACATATAACGTAATTCAGATTTCACAAAGAAACTCTAATCAATTCCCACCACAGGTTCTCCTGAGGACTGTTTAACATCACTAGATATATAGGAAACATACAATGCTGCCATGTACCAATAAGATTATGTCACCAAAGATTCAGAAGATTTCCTTACAAATATGTGGCCCAATCCCTCAATCGTCACTATCCCTTGAATTACTGGTTCCAAGAGAGTTAACCAAGGTTCTGGTGTGGGTAGTGGCTCAGTTAAGGGGAGTATATTTATACCTTTTTATGGATGACATTCTGGTCAGAGCAGCTTGCAAAGACATACAGGTTTTAACCAATAAGAAAGAGAAATTTTATATCAGCCTAGAAACCATATCACTGTGGAGCAGAAATAAATACCACACAGGAAAAAATATTTCCTTAAGAAAAAAAGATTTCTGAAGATTGCAATTTGCAATACTGCCATTCTGCCTGCATGTTTTCAACTTCTAATAATTGCGGGTCCTGGAGCAATTTCCTTCATGTTATTCCACTGATATTTTCTCTCATTTGTTCTCCAAGTATTTCATTCTGCACACCGCATCCTCTCTGTCTCTGTCTCTCTCTCTCTCTCTCTCTCTCACACACACACACACAAACCCCACTCTCTAGCAGCACCCCATTTCCACAATGTTTGAGGTTCACCATGTTTCATTCCACCAGGAAGGGGCTTCAAAGACTGGTGATCTAGAGGCAATAATTGGAGAATGACTATTCTATCTGTGTTTTGTATACTCAAGCCGGATTATCCATTTGATCACTGTTAAAATTCCCTCCATCTCAGTTGCATGGCCAAAATTTTAAAAATTGTTCAGTGTCCTGTTAGTCTGTTCTATTAAGCATCTCAACTATTCATAAAGATCAGTGGTAGTACTTAGGGCAAGGTTGTGACTTGCAGGAGTGCAGCCTTCCTGGTCTGTGTTCTGTGGGATAGGGCAGAGATGCTACTCCCCTCTCCCATGCAGGTTGGCAGGCAGTGGCCAGATAGGAGTAGGCAATGGGCAGAGCCCCAGCACACTAGCTGAGCCAGCACAGAGGAAAAAATGTTCTGTTACTGGAATAAGCCAGGAAGAGGAAACCAGGGGAGGAACTGTAACTGTTCAAATCAGTTTCTTTCTTAGACTGTTTCTGGGGCAGTGCATCTAAATGCTACCTCTCATCCAAGTAAAATCATAATCTAGCCCTTAGTCTCTAACACTGATAAATACAAGTTTTTATTTGTTTGTTTCATTTAAAAATGGTATTCACCAAACTAAGCATCCAGTTACCCAATATTTACCTATTCGTGCATTTTATTGTGTTTTTTCTTTCAAGTCTGTCACATTTAAGTTTCACATGACATGCCAATACTATTTTGGACTATCATAACTACTAGTGGATTCCATTATATACACAGGGTTTATGTGTTTGCTTATTTTTAAATTGATGGAACTTCAATAAATATTTTGATTTAAAAAACAACTCTGAAGCACTCATTTGTGTGGTAAATTACTGATTAAAGTAATAGGATCAGTATTCAAGCTGACACCAAAATCTCTCACAGCAGAGCTGCCAAACACAACAGAAGAGTATTACACTATTAGAAAAAACTGGTTCACAGAAGCACAGTTCTCCTTTACCTCTTATAAAAACAGGCAGGAGCTAATCGCCTTTTAATCATGTTACTAATTAGACAAGATAGTTTACAGTTCTGTTTTATTCTTAAATTCTTTTTACATCTCATTTTAGCATACTACAGCATCTTGTTTATAGTAGATTGAGAAACAAGATGTATAGACAAATAATGTCTATTGACATTCTAATTTCCAACATGGGTGTGGAACATGTAACTATATAGCAAATCAAGGTGTGTAAATATCCCACTAAAAATCATTAGAAACCAGTGCAATTGTAAGTAGGTTCACAGTAGACAAAGTGCATTTCCTTTTAAAGGGATAGTGCCAAGCACGTTAGGTTTTTTAATACTTTATGATGGAGACTCTCTAGTTGGTTAATGATTAAATGTTCACAGGTGCCACATTAGTCCTTTTTTGGAGTTTTCTGTTTCATGCTTTCAAAAAAGTTTGAAGCATTTGCTTGGAAAATAAATAAAAAATAATATGCAGTTGTCACCATTAAAGTCAGCATTTTCCAGCAGTTAGCATGAAGTGGAATCTGAGATACAAAAGTTTCACCCTACACCTCAAATAGGAAATAACTGTGGTAGCTGTGTGATATCTGTTGTCAACTACTGACTTTTTAATGGTGACCACTAAAGCTGGTCAAAAATGTTAAAACTTTCAAACGTTCAATTAAATTGTTTTGCTGTTTTTTTCAACCATCTTATAGAATGGTCATAATAAAAAAAAATCAAAATTTCAAGGAAAAATTTTCACCAAAACAATTCAAAATATTTTCACCAAAAAATTCTGCATTTTTTACCTGCTTTAGTAAACAATTTAAGAAGTATGTGGAATTTGCAAATATTGTTTATGTCATATTTTGGGCTTGTTGTACTAACTACTGATAGGTGACACAAAAATAGCACTTCCTGAACCTTCATCCACAACTCAAACCAAACCAAGTCTTTTTTGAGGTTTCATAAAATTCAAATAATTCTTTTTATCTTCACATATCTGACTGTCTAGGTATTTCTCACACATCTGCCACTGTGGAATCTTGGCATCTTTGCACTGTTGGTGTTTGTTTAGAGACCTGAAATGATTTACCAACATACTGTACAACAAGAAAGATTGCTCTTGTCATATTTCCAGGTGAACCTAAAGAAATACTAGAAACCATAAGAAAATGTCTCTTCTTTTCTTACATTTACAGAACCAAGAGTTTCTGACACTTACATTTAAGTATCAAAACTTCTACATGCTTACCTGCACTGGATCCTTGAACTACTAATTTGGAAATAATCTAAAAGGTAAGAATTTTCTGTGAACATTTTGGAGGGAAATAAAAAAATTCATTTTTCAGATTTTTTTCTCTCTTCTTTTTCTACATTCCCTGTTCCCTTTTTTTTGCCTCTTCCCCTTACTTTTCCTTTTTTACATTTTGCTATAATAAATTAACTATTTGTACTTATCAGGTATAAAGTCACACCTTTGATTATCTCTGCTAATGACATACCTTAGGTAAGTTTGCCACCTGTCCAGGTTTTCCAACGATTGTCCCTTTTTTGAGGTAGCTGTCCTGGGAAATCTGTAAGGGTGCTCAGTATACACTGCAAGCTGTCCAGTTTTATGGGCACAGGATCATCCCAGATGTCCTGGTTTTTTGTACCTCAGAGGTGGCAACCCTAACCTCAGGCCTCACCTGACAGGAACCAGGTTTAATTTTTCTCTGGTGGATCAGTAACTGGTTAAAAGACAGGAAACAAAGGGTAGGAATAAATGGTCAGTTTTCGGAATGGAGAGAGGTAAATAGAGGTGTCCCCCAAGGATCTGTACTGGGACCAGTGCTATTCAACATATTCATCTGGAAAAAGGGGTAAACAGTGAGATGGCAAAATTTGCAGACAATACAAAATTATTCAAGATAGTTAAGTTCAAAGCTGACTGCAAAGAGTTACAAAGGAATCTAACTAAATTGGGTGACTGGGCAACAAAATGGCAGATGAAATTCAATGTTGATAAATGCAACGTAATGCATACTGGAAAACAATCCCAACTATATGTACAAAATGATGGGATTTAAGTTAACTGCTACCACCCCAGAAAGAGAACTTGGAGTCATTGTGGATAGTTCTCTGTGCAGCAGCAGTCAAAAAATCTAACAGAATGTTAGAAACCATTAGGAAAGGAATAGATAATAAGACAGAAAATATCATAATACCACTATATAAAGCCATGGTACGCTCGCACCTTGAATACTGCATGCAGTTCTGGTCACTCCATCTCAAAAAAGATATATTAGAATTGGAAAAGGTACAAAGAAGGGCAACAAAAATGATTAGGGGTATGGAACAGCTTCTGTATGTGGAGAGATTAAAAAGACTTGGACTTCTCAGCTTGGAAAAGAGACGACTAAGAGGGGAATATGATAGAGGTCTATAAAATCGAGACTGGTGTGGAGAAAGTGAATAAGGAGTGTTATTTACTCCTCCTCATAACACAAGTATCAGGAGTTACCCAATGAAATTCATAGGCATAAAGTTTAAAACAAACAAAAGGAAATGCTTGTTTACACTATGCACAGTCAGCCTGTGGAACTTATTACCGGGGGATGTTGTGAAGGCCAAAAGTATAACTGGGTTCAAAAAAATAATTAGATAAGTTCATGGAGGATAGGTCATCAATGGCGATTAGCCAAGATAGTCAGGGATGCAACCCCATGCTCTGGGTGTCCGTCAACCTCTGATTGCCAGAAGTTGGGAGAGGACAACAGGGAATGGATCACTTGATGATTGTCTGTTCTGTTAATTCTGTCATGTAATGTTCACCAGTTACTAATGGAGACCAGAATCTTCTTGCCAGCTCCTCTGCATCACACTGCAAATTTCCTTCCTGCTCTGGACTTCCTACTATATCTGGGCTTACCCGGCCTTCTCATTAGGATCTCTGATTGATATATTCGGCTCCTTGCCTCCAGTCACGTCACGTGTCTGTCTTACTTTGGCAGACACTCTTTCACACCTCTTTCCTAAATTTCACCCCAAAAAGAGATATTTCACCATTGTGACTTGTACTGTCTCATAGAGCTTATCTTCCTCTCTTAAACCTGCATGGCAGCACTCAGACCATCTCTCCAGCTGCATTAGCAGCAGGATTTAGCAGATGCCCATGTAGCAATGCTTTTCCTCTTCAGTGACTATATGGCACTCTCAGTCTTGGAACCTATTTTTCCATGCACCCTTTGATTATGCTCCTACTTCCTGTCACCTGAGGGAGAGGCAGTACCCCAGCATGCATTTTATTTTAATGATTCTCATTTAAATGGGATTCTAAGATCTAGACTAAACCCCTGTGATGAAAACTGAGCTTATTCAACCTCAAACAACACTCGATAGGCCAAAAGGAATTCTGTCCAACATCCATATTGACAAAAGAAGTTGAGAGTTATATTTTGGGACAAATGCTCTTTTCCCTTGGTAAAGTGAAAAATTTAAACTGCTCACGACTGCATCTGAACTGAGTTATTAAACAACTGGAACTATGAAAAATTAGCATGCTGGTTATGATGAATTACACCTGACAAATATAGTAAAATATAGAGAAAAGGCTTTGCCAGGCAGGAGGGAGGAAGTAACAGTGGCAAAAGCAGGTCCCTTAGATAGGAAAGAATCAAACAAGGATTCAGAGAACAAAATGCTGGTCAGCCTGTAGGCCTACTGGAAATGGCTAAGGGTAAGATTCTGGACACTTTGGCCAAGAACACAATGTACCTTTTGCAAGACTGTTGTGTGCTGTGACTCAGTGAAAGGAAAGTCAATATGGATTGATAGCCAAAATAACATGTTAAATGAATCCGATAGAGTTCTTTTGGGTATATAAGCAAACTGGCAGACAGAGGTGAAAGAGTGTATATTAAGTGTTTGTAGTTTAGATTTGCTGATAATATTGCCCTGCTCAAAAGACTGATTTACAGAGAACAGTGGGCCAAATTACAGTGGAGAATCCAGCCCCCACCTCCATGAATGTGAAACTCCTCAAGGCAGAAAAAGTGGAGCGATTCACTGCGCAAAGGAGGGGCCTAGATTCCATGAGACTATGCAAGGGGTGCTTCCTGAATGGTAGCATCCACTGAGATGATGAGGGAGTGGCCAAAAATTAGCACTGCATGGATTCTCCAGGGCTCCCCAATACGACCCAGTTGTGTTAGGGCATAACACATATTAACCCACAACCTCACAGGGCTGTAGTAGCATCCACAGAATAACTATGGAGCCACTCCACAGGTTTAGGAGGCCCCTCCCTTTCCCTTGGGCATCTCCTCAGTACTCAGACTAGCATCTCAGGCTAGTATCAGGGTAGAGATTTGCTCCTCAGAAGTGCTGGAATTTTTATAGTGGGGGTGCTGAGAGGCACTGAACCAAACTGTAAACCCCGTATATAATAGAAACCACTTCAAGCCAGGGGGTGCGGCAGCACCCCTAGTTCCAGCACCTATGCCTCAATTACACCAGCGTAAATTCAGAGTTACTATGCAGATTTTGGTTACTTCATATTTACATGGGATGAAATTATGTAGAATTTGGCCCAATGTGTGTACAGGAGGGAGAATGCAATTGAAATGTTTTTTAAAAATGGAACCACTTTCTGCCATCACTTATATCCCGTACAACCTGCACAAAGGTGAATAGGGTTGCACAGTTTGTAAATCAGGTCTCTTGAGCAGGAAGCAGAAAAGTGAAAGGAAAATCAACTTTTCAGTGTGGAGAGAAGTAACAGGTAAATTTAAAACAGACCTGCTTGTTGTAGATTGTAAATAAATAATGTGGGTGACTGTAGTATTTCAGAAATAGCTAGGTTCATGCAGAGTAATAGAACATTGCAAATGCATTCAAAACCATTTGAAAATTATGGGCCAATTTCATCATTGGTAGTAAAATTCCTCTTACAGCAGTGTCACTACACCTTAAGCGTCTGGTCTGCTAAGTGACAAACCTCTAAATTGCTGCAAGCCCTCTGAACACAGAACTCCCAATAACTCAATGGGAGTTTTGTGCATGATAGCAAAAAGTGGGGTAGTAGGACAAAGATAAAATCAAAGTAAAATCCTGGATCTCTTGAAGTCAGTGGGAGTTTTGCCACTGACTTAAATTCAGACCAGGATTTCAACCACTGATATTACAGTCCAGAGAGCATAACATTCATAAAAAAAAAAAAAATGAAGAAGAGACCAAGGCCTCCAAACTGCACCCATTGAAGTCAATAGGAGTTTTGCCTTTGACTTCAATGGAATTATTCCTTATTGTATCTAAAACACTTATCCCCTCTGCAAATCAGCTGTTTTTGTAATGTCAAAACAGTAAATGTTACAGGAGAAGTCAACAAAAATACTACCAGAGTTTGGCAGAAAGGAGTTACTGGAGTAGATTAGTCAGATTTTGCACCTTTACATTGCATTCAACGCCTGCTATTATGGCCTGACCCAAAGCTCACTGAAGTCAAGGCTTCAGATCAAGCCGTTATTCTCTAGCTGATGGTTACAGAATCACTTTGCAATTAGACTGACAGCTTCTGCTGTCATAGACAGAGGTAATGCTAGGATTTGTAAATGTTATGATTTTTGCTAGAAACCACAGACTGACCTCCTTCACATTTGGGGAGCAAATTCGACAACTCCAGTTCAGAAGAAAGCTTCACACAAAAAACTGACTTCAAATTGTGGAAGTGACGGTACTGAATCACTGGGTCAAAGTGAATGGAGACTGACAGTTCTTTCCACAGTTCATCTCCTTGTAACCAAGTTAAAAGGTATCTATTCAAAAAATAAAACTTTTCTGGGACACAAATCATGAACTATTGTATGTAATATACTGTGGACCTCCCTTCTAGTCAACTCTGATACAATTAAAATCTACTTTTGCTAAAAGAAATCAGCCAATTAACAATTGAATGAAAGGGGGCAGATTGGGTTAGTTGGCATTTATTTTAACTGTAATTAAAAAAAAACCAAAGATTGCAAACATTCATATGTTTATAAGGAATGAGCTTTTGAATCTGGAGAGCTGGTTCAGGCCCATCTGTCATTTGCAGTGAATGAGAATGGAAGTCCCAAATTATTTCAATGCATTGCAATGTGCAAACTGCAATTACAGTGAACCACTGCATATAAATAGTGGGCCAGGTCAGCCGATGTAAATCAGCAGAACTCCATTGCTTTTTGGACCAATATTGTAAAAAAATAAATAAACCCACACTTAAAAAACCCAAACCTTTAACAAAAGAGGGTCTCACTGTGTAAAATATGGACCTTACTTTCAAAATAGCTCATCACCTGCAATAGATTCTGAACATTTTTGAAAATCTGGCTCGTATTTAGGTGCCTATATGGAAGCAAAGTTCTGAAAATCTGGCCTGGTTAGGTATTGGCGTATTTAGACCACTGCCTATCATGCTGACCAATACTCTCTCATTATTCTCTTGTCCTCCCCTAGCTATCTAGATCCATCTGTTGTCTCTTGTTTTATACTTAGATTGTAAGCGTGCTGGCGCAGGGACCATCTTCTTGTTCTGTGTTTGTACAGTGCCTAGCACAATGGGTCCCTGGTCCATGATTAGGGCTCCTAGGTGCTACAGTAATAAAAAGAAATAAAAATAATAATAAATGGAAGTGGTCCTTGAAATGTTTTGAAAATCTGGCCCCATGACAGTCTCTGCACATAGAGACCTTTTTAATCTCGGTAGA